ACCAATACTGAACCCAGCGTATTCTGGGTGGCATCTTGTGCGGAATTCTGTCTCGATCCTGTCAGAAAAAGGAAGCTTGATGGTCAGTCGTACGTCCAAGTTCCTATTGTCTACGATAAGTCATTTCTAATAAGAGGCAAAACTCAAGATGAAAGTCGTTTTGTGTCGTTGAGCTTACCAATTGCGTGCAAATGTGTCAGTAAACGAGAAGTGCGCTAGGTTCAATTACTGTATAACACTGTTTATTGATTCGTCGGAAATTGCATTTTATTTTTATTTTTACATATTTAAAGTTTTTATTTGTGTTTGCAGATTTTATTTTAAACTATATATATCATGACTACTCACTGTAACAGAGTGAAACCGACAAATTTTGTAGATTCACAATTTTGTAGTTTGAATCGGTTGTTTTCGGTATATGTAATTGGGCTGGATTTGAACCCTTGATTTGATAATGACGAATATTATAAATACCCAAAATTTGGTTCACTCAGACAAATTAACTCGAAATACCACATCAAGTAGGTTGCGATGTACTTGATGGAAAATTGCGTGATTTGATCAGTATAGTTACAATGATCAAAAGTTCTACAGACGTTATTAATAGCGTATTTCAGTTCTTTCTAGGAAAGTGGTTAAATCTATAACAATGATTCTACTCAAGCATGCAATTATAATCCTTTAGTTTTCAATTCTTTATCTTTTCCAATCAGTATTTTAGATATTATATCAAGCCATCTAACTTTCAAAACAAATGTACATCAAAGTTTACATTGCTTGCCAACCAAAAACTTAATTGCAAAGTTCATGGATATGTTTCATATATATATATATATGCGTATAATCACTTTTCTATCTCTATTTTTAATTTTTTTTTATAAATAAGTATAGTGTCATGTGCAGATAATTTATCTTGCTTTTTAGTTTGTGAATATTTTGAAAACGTTTGTTGTTGATTTAGAATTACAACATAAATAAAGAAAACAGACTCATTCATCATAAAACGCATATGATTATTAATAGTATGATTATAATACATTACATAGGATTTTATTTGGTTTGAAATATTCAGTTCCTACAAAACGTTATTAGTAATTTACTGCCTTAGAAAAATATTGTATCTAAAGTGAATGGATAAAAAAATACACCGCTAAGATTTAACTTTATTTCAGTCTTCTAATGGACTAAACAAAAATATTGTTGAGGAAAAAGTGAATGAAAAGCTAGGAAAAGTGAATGAAAGGCTCATTCATGTATGGGCAATGTGAAGACTGATGTGGACGTGGACAACAAAGTCAAGCATGTGCTTTGAGAATTTTTTGTAAATATTTGTTACCCAGTACAAAAATCAGAAGAAACTATTTCAGGATTCAAGGTTAGGTTAATTTGTTACACACAATCGGGCTCGGTTATGTGGACATCAGTCACCGCTAACACCCCAAAAAGTTTTTTGCCGCGCGCATCGCTACAGGCCCACATTCGCAACTTTTGGGCAGTCGGCCCAGCAGACCTATTCGATGGAATAGAACAAGAGGGACCCCTTTGTGTCGTAGCAGCAGCAGGCCAGCACTATGACCACTAATTTTGAGGTAACGATATTTTCTGTAAAGAGAATCACAACTACAGGCTAATATGGTCCATAATACTACGTTCGATATCTGTCTCTCCCAGGTAGATGGGATAGGAACAATATTCTGCTTATTGTTATTGCGGAAGCAGGAGTAACGCCCTGTGCATTGATTCCTAATTAGTAAGTTTCTATCTCTGATGAAACTTCAAAAATACATTCTAGCTGATATTCCTATACCACAGTGACCGTAACCAATGAGCACATGCTCATTGACGCAACGCAGCCTGCGCACACCCTCCTCAGGCTATCCCAGTTTGATCTCCGCCGTTTAAAAGCCATTTAGTTAATCAAAGCCAAATAAATTTGGCCGACTTTATATCCTGTATAATTTTACTAAGATCTTAGGGCAGGGGTGGTCAACCAGTCAGAGAGCAAGAGCCGCATTTCGTACTTTATAACCGCGAAGAGCCACATTATAAATAAGAACACGCGTGAACATCAGATATGCCTTTATTCACCACTGCTAGAATGCTAGTTTATTGCAAATGTTACTAACCAACATGCCATTTATTGTTATGCATGCGTTGTGGCCAATTGGAGCCGTTCTTTCACATGTGTCAATCAGAACATATCAATACTTTGATAGCACGTGTTTTAGGGTAGAAAAACAGATTCGCAGACGTATATTGAGTGACCCAAACATTGACAATATCCTAAGCGCAGCTCGTTTGACATGGGGTATTTTTTCCATTGGCATGCTTTTCCGTAACTCAATAGGCCCTTGCACGATGTGCACGATGCACGATGAATCATGATATATTTGATCAAAACAAGATGAATCGTAGTTTGCAAGTTAATTTTTTCTTCATAACCAAGGTGACAAAAGCCGCATAAAAACGGCGAAAGAGCCGCATGCGCCTCACGAGCCGCGGGTTGGCTACCCCTGCTCTAGGTCATTTACTCCCACCGATTGAATAATATTCAAATACTTTCAGTATTTAAGATTGGCATATCGTATTTTATCGAAACGACTTTGGTAGCATTTAACAGCTAACAAACTGAATTTATTTTTCTCAAATGGCCTCTTATCTCATATATGTCAGTAGAAATGTATGCAACACATCGAGTAAACAATGCAGCTGTACGGTTTCGTTATTTTAGTGAATGTGCTCGCCAAGCTAGTAACAGACTCAAAATATTCCGTGTGCTGCAGAACCACACAATAGATGCAATAGCTTGATCAGGTAAATAGAGACTAACAAAAACACGGCCAACCTTACAGCACTCAGATGCTATAAATAGATCAAATCATAGTTGTGACTTTGCCAAAGGTGGAAGCTTGTTATTGAAATATCCCAACTCATAAATCTTTATCCAGATTTAGTCTTGTTTTCAATCTCAGCTCGAACTGCCTCAGCAACCAGCAAACCATTGGCGAAATTTACGGATACAACTCTACCCGCAACATCAATATCGAAATTTCAAAATACCATCTAGATCAGGTTGTTGGCTCCGCGGGCCACAAATTTATTTTTTCATTGTTCGCTGGCCACAATAGTGCCTAGAATAGGTAAACTGGCAATACAAAACAAACACTTTAATTGTGCAAGCACATAGGTAGCCTATCAGACATAGCCATCCCAGGCTAATAGAATCCGCATTCGATTTTTAGTTTTCTATAATGACTATATTGTTAGCATATATATATTCCCGACCCCGACCAAAAAGATAGAAAGCTAGATAATAATTTAGACTGCCAAGCACATTATTCAACTTCGCTATTTGCCTCGGCTAGCCATAACACTGGTCAATTCAATGACATTAGTGATGTAAGAATATGTCAAAAGATTTTTCTGATTAATTTCATTATGAAACAACACGAAATGCGATTTATTGATTACTCTCCGAATGTGACGCGGGCCACAGGTTATGCAGCGGCGGGCCACATGTGGCCGCGAGCCTGGGTTTGGACCACCCTGTTCTAGATTAAATCCTAGAAAAGCAGAGCAATAGGCTACATCTTCCCTGTCTAATTGCACGATGCACCTGCAAAATCGTTAGCATCTCTAAATGACTTCAGAGTAGGCTATATCCGTTAGGGCGTGCTTTCAAGTTTGTCAATACCTGAGTACAAGCTCACAATAATAAGGCAGTCTAAAACTTTGCAACCCAGAGGGTTTCGATGAAATTTTAATGAAGACCCTTAAAACTACTTTTATAAAATTTCGCTTGGTATATTATTACTATTACAGTGTAAAAGTGTATATTCTGTGCCATATTTGAAACATAACGGTACATCTAAATTGTTTCTACGAATATAAAATGAATTTCACAGTTAAGTCATACATATTATGTGTAGAAATATTTTCAGGCTCGAAATCATGAAATAAGGAAACAATACCTAACCAAAGAATTAATATTTTCTATGCATTGGTTTTCTTGTACTCACGTATATACATTAAATTGAAGATTACAGATAAATAATTGCAAACTGATAAAATCTTTATAGCTATTAATATCGATTTAATAAATTACTATATTGATTTTATCCCACAACATTTTAACGGCATAAACACAATAATATAGCTCATGAATATTAAGTTCGTTATTTCGTCTTTCACTAGTTATTGCACCATGAATTATAATCTACAAAAAATAAATTACCATTCGATTGTATAATGCAGACAGTGTTTCGTGTCTAAGACCGTATCGCACTACCTAATACATTGACGGGAGTAAAACCAACAGCCCGAGAATTTCAGTAATTTAATAAATCAGAAACTATAGGTAGTCAATTTCTGAGTAACCTGGTATATCTGTGGAACATATTTTTTCACTTTATCTCACAATTTATGTCTGTCACAACACGTTTCATAACGCCATTCCTATGGAAATGGCAGCGCCAATGCTCGTGCTTTGAAACTAAGCCTAATAAGCATTTTTTTAAATTTTTTCGAAGCACTGCGCTAACCAAGTCGCCTTGGAAAATAAATACGTGCTGACACAAATTCCATGAGACGTCTCCACTGGAAACGACAATCCCATGGCCAACCAAGCCTTCGAGTTGCAATTGCAACTTTTATGCAGTCAAGGAACACTCAAAAATATTTCGGAGTAAAGATGTGGAAACACATGAATAGAACTGATATTGCAGAAATATTTTATTAAGAAAAAGAAAAATTTGAAAAAAAAAACTATCTGATATCAGAGTTATAAATTAAACTATTCACTAAGAATGTTTACAAATTATATTGAACGCAATGTCACATATACAGTCGACAGAACATCGTCATAAGTATGGCCCATGTATATTATCAAAGGTACACATAAACGGTTTCTAAGTTTTAATCCCACAGTACTGATTGATTTACAGATATTTATAGAAAATTATTTAGAATTGAAATGCAAGTACAGGTTTCGTTCACATTAATTAATAAACAGTGCTTTTTAAAACACATCGGCATCCAAGTGTAATAGGCATTCGAATATTGTTTAGAAATTTCTTTACCGTAGTTATTTCTTCAATATAATAAGCACGATTGCCGTCTTCTTTCAAAAAAATTTCGTTTGTGATCGGATCTCTACATATCGGTAAACAAATGACAGTCGTGAAATTGAAGGATGAGCTAAGTTCTACGTTGCTGCAGTGAACTTTAACCAAATGATATGGTTCGATGTTGTTTAAATCCACTGACATTTCGGTCCCAATAACGGCTTTGCAGTTGTGGTCTCGCGCCTCTTGTGAGCTATGAATTAAATTTAAAAAAAAATGTAATTTTATGTAATTAAGTTACGTCTCTTCTCGTTTGCTGAATAACAAATTTTCTTATTTCCATAAAATATACGTGAATAAATTTGAATTAATTTCATTCAACCTTTTGTTATCATTTCTTTGGTATAATGTCTTTCTAACTAAAATTCACAGCATAATATTTTTATACGGCAGAATATTATTTATCGGATAAACTACTCACTCAAATCTGAATCCAACTCCATTTACAGCAGTCAAACTTTGGAACAGAATGAGCAAGATGGTGAAAACTTGATGACATTGAATCTGCAAATGAAAACATGATTGTTAATAATACCTATAGCATGAGAAATTCTATTGAAGTGACGTGTTAGTAGATCATTTTCTTTCAAAGTGATATATCTCATTTTGTCCTTATTTCAGGAATATAATTAAAATAAAATATTCGATTATGAAAAGTATATAAATTTTCAGAGCGTTCATGACCATTGACTCTTTTTGAGTAAATTTCGAGGTATTTCGAGATTATTTGTGGCGGGCCAGGCTATTTGATATTCTAACTTCTTTCATTTTTCAATACAAATGTTACATATCACACTAAGCCCATCTAACCTTGTATGCATTTTATTCAATTTTACTCAGATGTTATACATTCAAAATACTTCCAATATTTAATAAAATTAATTAAAATTGAATGAAAAGTTTAATAAAAATGTTGAATACCTGTTTAACTGACTTCATCTTTGATTTCCAAGTTTTTGAATTCCAATACAGCGAATTATGGGAAGTCTAACCAGTTTTAAAGTCTCTTCAAACCCGAAATATATGAAATTGTATTGGTTATACCCCTCTTATATAGCCTGTTAGAAAAGTTTATTTACCCATTTTTAGAACATGATCTTATTAGAAGCAACCTAACCGCTTACCTAAAAGAATTATTTAAACAATGGTATGTTGTCCAAAGGTTACCTGATATCTGCCTAAGAAATTTTTCAAAAATCGAATCTTATACTTTGATTAATAACTTACGTTAAATTTGTTTGCTGTTCTCATTCTATGCGTAGGAGTTATTGTACTTCAAATAATTCAAACGTGACATATTTCGTTGTTATACGCAAACGAGAACTTGTTTACAAAGACGATTTGATGCACGAATGTGAATAAACATTTTTTATATCTGAGAGGAAGAGGATATTTTAGTTCTAACATTTGAGGCGAAGAATGCGAAACATTCATCTATTAATACAAAGTATGTAATTCTATTAAGTCTACATTGAAGTGGGCAGGTCGTTTGTTTTAACCTCACGATATTGAAACAGATTTTGTGAGTATTTGCCTCCCCTTGGCGCTTGCATAACCGAATCGAATAGACACAAACAACGTAAGCGACGTAAATGTTGGTCGCCATTTTGAATTTTGTTACAAGCACGTATTTCCTCTATGCTGTGGTAATTTTTTCCCATTGCGTGGGCAATATTTGCATATTTTGTCTAATAGTAACGTCATTGATGAGAACTACTTGTGATTTTACAACGAGCAAATAGCAACGTAATTGAACAAGACATAATAATTTTAACAATACGCAAGATACAGTAAACATATCAACATTTGACTGCCTTTCGTTAAAGAAAAAGCCCATAACCCTACATAGTGACTCCAAACATTTTAAACCAAAAATTTTAGTTTGCTTTGAATCAGGAGAGTGTAAACTAATTCAATTCATGAGCGATTGAAAAAAACGCCGTTCCCCATGAACTAAATGTGTTAACGTCCATTTCTTTCAGTTTCATGCAATGAAATTTACAAAAAAGCACCGTGGGTGCGAACGTTGTAATACTTAGTATTGTAACATGTAACGAACAAAGACATAGAATGCATGTCCACTTTTATTAGCGTATGGTTAATATCACATTGTAGTCTACTTACAACTAAAGATCAAAATCCTGTTTCAGAAACTATAAAATTTCAAAAGAAGCTCATTCATAATTGATTGATTATTGTCCCAGCACAACTCAAAATGGCATAACCGATTATAAGCCATTTTTATTTGGAATTGACGTTGAGGCTTAGATTTTTAAATATATAAATCTTATAATTTTAGTATTCTTACAAATTCTACTGTCACTTACAAATTGTTTTCTTGGGATTGATTCCTGGAAGTTTTATAATGATAAACGTTTGACATTACAGTTAGTTACATATCAACACGTCCAAAATTACCTTTGTCTTGAATGCTACAGAATATTTCTGGAACAGTTCAGAAACCAGATAATGTACCGTAATTCAATTTCTATTACGATCTTATTTCCACTATTAGACTATAAGGATGTTAGAATGTAAGTATTTGGATGCTAATTGAAATCCACTTGTGACGTATAATTTATTTGATGAATAGATATTAAAAAACTCTATAATTTTTGATTTGACAAATCAAAGTAAAACGGATCAAAATGCTATATTTGCTCGGTGTAACTGTTGCACTGTGAAAGTGTATGCTGAGCCATGATTTATAGTCAAGATCGAAATCATAAAATGTCTATAAGGAGACACCCCCTAAAACAACTGACGTTTTCTTACGCTGAATTTTTGTATCTTAACCCATTTCTTTGTAATAAATTTTTTGCTAAATTTAAATATTGCTGTTGCTTGTAAAAAACTTTTCTGAGTAAACTTCAGGCTAACCCATTTTCAACGAACCTTTTCGTCACCTACGTTGTTTGCGTCTCCTTGACTCCATTATCTATGTGCGATAAAACGAACACTCGAAAAATATATTTACATTTAAACTATTTGCCCGCGTCATTGTAGAGTTATTAGATTTGCATTTCCCCACATGATATTGTATGCATGTAAATGCGTGCATGCTTCAAATTTATTAAGATTACATCCATGGTTTCATTGGTTGTAAACTAAAATATCACAATATCTACAGACACAACAAAGCGAACGTGGTACAAATTAACCATACGCGAATAAAAGTGGACATTTAGTCTATGTCTCCATTCATTTTATGCAGTATGCACTGTATGAGTAAGCTTTTCCACAACGTTCCGATCCACACCGCTTTTCTTAATTTTTTTTTTGCACGAAACAGAAAAATAGACGGGTGTTTTTTTTAGCCCAGGGGAGACTTAAGTGGGTATTTTATCCAATCGAAAAAAAATTGGACTCAATTATGACATGGATTATGCAAAGTTTTAGATACCATTTCTGGATTTTCTTTGCGAATCACATCGTTGCGTAAACATATTACGAAGTTTCGCTGTTTTCAATTTGTAGGAAATCACAAGTAATACTTATCAAGTGCGTGGGCTATGTAAATATCAACGACGCAATGAAAATTTTTTACGTGGCATCGGCCGAAAACGTGCTTGCGACAGAATCAAAAATGGCGCCGGGCCATCCCATCGCCTATTGTTGTTTGTGTCTCCTCGATTCGGGTATGCAATCGGCAAGAGAAAGCAAACACTCACAAAATATGTTTTTAGTATTCTGAGGTTAAAACAAATGAACGGTCTTTTTGTAGCCGTTTTAATAACTTTACACGACATTAGGCATACATTATACATGCCGTAATAAATGTATGAATGTTTCAAATTTACAACAAAAAAGTAAACTAAAAAATACCAATGCTTACAGACACATTTGATGTTACCTCAACTCTTAACCTTAGAAAATTTCTTCTCATACTTTACCATTGCAAAATTAGCCAATCTATCAAAAGTTCTGATAGCTAATTTGGACCTGATCTATCGCAGCTTTTGATGACTAAGTTTTGATTTCTGTAAGCTAATCGAAAATTCTCGTAAGACAAATTGACTATTCGCTTTTGTGATATATACGTTATAACTTGGTTGTAATTATATTATTACAAAAACAATATTAGTTTAATGAATAAAACGAATTCATATTATCAATATTGAATATAAAAAGTATATGGGTAATATATACATGTTTTGAAGTGTTATTGATCCCCAAAAAATATTGAAAAAAAAACATTTATATTTCTAGAGTAGAAAACTTGTCTAATTTGTTACTTCTGAGCTACGATGTAAAGTGTGAGTGGGTATATATCCATAAAGAGTTAGGTTCGCAAATATTCACTGCCATATGCTATGTAGACATTTTTGTATGATTTTTCGAAAAAATTTTACAATTCTAATAAATGTGCCATTGATTGGGTTTCTACGAGTCAGAACAGTTATCATTCTTCTATACTTTTTGTACTAGTATTTAAATAATACAAGGATACTGTAGCAAGAATGTAAATAACTATCCTAATTGATTCGAGAGTCTTGCTGCACACTAACACAAATATACTTCTGTAACGTACTTTTGACCAAGATCAGACTCTCTCAGACAAACATTATTCAACTACAATGAAAACGGGAATTGCATGCACGTTTACACAATGGGTGTCATAGCTACATAATAATATCATAATAACTCCTATTGTTATGTTGCTATGACACCCATTGTGTAAATGTGTATGCAATTTATCTTCTTATTGAAGTTGAATAATGTTTGTCTGTCGCATGTCTGTAACATGCGTTCATGCATTTTATCTTCTTGTTTTAGTTGAATAATGATTGTGTGAGAAAGTCTCACCTTGGTCAGACGAAACATTACAGAAATATATTTGTGCTAGTATGCAGCAAGACTCCCGAATTACTTAGGTTGAATAAATGTGTTTCAAAACAAATCACACAATTTTCGCATTCTAATTGTTCCAACAATATTTTTGCTTTTGATCAAAAATTAAAACATTATCCAAAACATTTCTATCTCAATAATGCACTCTTTACTTTGTCGAAACCGATTTGGAGACTTTCATCCTTTTGTCTGTCCTTCGATAGATATTTAGTTCGAAAATTCTTTTCATGTTAGTCAAAACGAACACAAGAAAATAATGCAGAAGTACATTATATATTAAATATCATAATATCTTGACGTTAGTTTATATCATACTTGAATGCATAGTTGAAGTTTGGTTATCCCAAAAAAGGGGGACATCCACATCCGTCTGGACTCTTTTGGACATAATCATAACTAACTATAATTATAACCTAACTATAGAATGTCTCGTTTGCATTGTTTGTTAAAGTATAATAACTCCCACGTAAATAATGAAAAAACAAACAAATTCAACGTAAGTTATTTGAATGCATACCATTCAATATTTGTTAACTAAACATCAGGGAATCTTGAAACAGCTTACTACTGTCTTTTATTTTACTCCTAGTTAAGTTTCATGTGCCGTTAATAAGATAATGTTCTAAAAATGGTTGTATAAACTTTCCTAAATGGCTATATAAGGGCAGTGATACCAATGCAATTTTATAAAATTTGATTGCGAAAGCCTTTGCAGCTGACTGGTTAGACTTCAGATAATTTATTGCATTAGTATTTGAAGATTTGGAAATCAATGATGATGTCAATTAAATCGGTATTCAAAAATCATTTATCTATAAAATTGTATTCATTTTTCCTCGATGTTTCCAAATGTTGAAATTTTTCGAACAAGTACCATTGAAGAAAAAGAAAGGTTGGAATATTAACTAGTTTTGCATAAAATAATCTGTCTTGATTTGAGCAAATTTTTCAAAAAAAGTAATTGGTACAGAACGATTTAAAAAGTTATGTTGCACAAAATTGATCATTTATTATCATTTTTCGTTCAAAATCAAGAAGGGAGAAAGTATTACACTTATTAAAATACAATAAATTTTGTTTCTCAAACGTTATAACAATAGAAGTTTTCATGCAGGTATTAATCAACTATTATATTTTCATTTGAAGATTCATTTTCGCCAAACGGTCACCATCTTGTTTATGCTGTTCGGAAGTTTGAATGTAAATGGAGAAGGAT